GCTACACTAACATGACGTTTAGGCAGTTCGTTTAACTATTATACATGATGTAAGTTTTTTTTTGGGGGGGGTAATGAAAGTGTTCCAAAATGCAACATTAATTTCTTGACAACCTAATAATTGCTAAACACACTGAGTTGCAAAAGGTTTAATGAGTATTCATTAAATGGAATGCTAGAGCAACTGATATTTCAAAATGGCAACTGGCACTTTTCTTTTTTAGAGTTTAATATCTTATTTGTCCTTGGACAAGTTTGACGAAAATATTTTTCATATTCTGTTCCTCATCTGTAAATAGCTATATTGTATGAGCTGCACTGGAAGTGTGAATACAACTGATTCATCAACTCTTCCCAAGTGGCCTTGGTACAAGCTGATGTCATGCCCAAAGGTACTTCTGGTAGTCCCAATCCAATGATGCTCAAAAACATTTCTGCAGTGTAATCTGCACTTATTCATCAGTACTACTGATGAATAAATAAAAGACTGGCTATATTTGTTTTCCACAATAAAAATTTCCTCACAACTAATTATTATAAAGTTTGTAAACTAGCAAATGAAGTGCTGTAGAAAGGAATGATATTTAATGCACAAATACTTCAAGCAAACAGGCAATTAAAAATTCTCTTTCTCTCTTTCTTAATTCTTGTCTTGTCAATCTATTCACATGTCCAGTAATTTCAAATTGATGCAGTCTTCTGGACTTTTTACCTACTTGGAGTAGAAAATGATTTAACTATTCTTTCTTTTTCACTCATACTGTCAGTTTTATCATCATCAAGCTCAACAGGCAAACTGTTCTTGAATGATTTAGTTGCTACTGTAGTGGTAGTACGATTAATATTGCTTTTAATCTGTTCCTCCTTTTAAATTATCTCCCTCACAATCATGGGACATAAGGGCCAGAATTTGGTAAATGTTTTATCACACAGACAACCTATGTCACATACTTAACATTGCTTGCAGTTTGCTTTTCAACTGTTTTGCCATTTTCATTGAAAACAAAAAAATTTAAACAAATTAAATGTTTCCATTTTCCATTACCATATATAGCTTACTGTGTTTGGTTAGGAACAAAATGTCAGTACAAAACCCTTACTTCATTGTTTAAATTCTAACAGAGGATACTCGTGTAATGTCATTAAAGAAGTTTAGAGATGGCTTCAAAGAGTAATAAAACAAACTATTACAAGTTTAACACAGTAACAAATGTACAATACTTTGACAAGGTTTTTGTCATCATCAGGTATAATGATGACAAAACGTTGTATATTTGTTATTGTGTTAAACTTATAATAAAGATTTCTTTGTTATCCATTCAAGCCATCTCTAAACTTTATTAATCTAAAAGAAGGTTTCTCATTGTCCAATTTAAATGTTATTAAAGTTTTTCAATTTCACTAACAGTAACATTGAATTCTTGACTTCAGTTTGCAATAAATAATTTTCTTTTTATAGAATGATATTTCAATGTATACCAAAGATAATTTCTCTTCTGGGAAATCTCAACTAAAAGCAGCACTGCAGCACATATATATATATATCTTAATATTTTACCCAATAAACACAAATTATTTTTGTTTTTAGAAACACAAACTGATTATTTATTGGATAAAGATAAATAATTAAATTGTATCAATCTATATCAGTTTTATTAAATCTTAAAAATCCATCAAAGGGCTTGATGAAAATCTACTTTTCCTCAGATATTAAAAACAGTTAATATATTAAAAACATATATGATCTCATCTAGGTCTACTATTAACACACAAAAATCCTGCAGTATTGTTTTCATTGAAAATTAATCCTATATGTACAGTAACTACAATATCTTAATAATCTAACACAGTACCCCAATAAATCATAATTTTGCAAGTGTATTTATACAATCTAAAATTCTTTGCACAAGTTTTTGTAATATTTACACAAAGACTACAAGAACAGTTTGGATCACATGCAACGATTAAGATTTCATTACTCATACATTACACTAAACAATGAGGTCATGCCTAAGGGCCAAACTATTAACACTGAACAATGACATCATGAAACTGTGTCTAATGGCCAAACTAGTAGCACTGAACAATAAAGTCATGAAACTATGGCTAATGCTAGACTAGTAACACAGAACAACAACCTCATGAAACTATGCTTTATGGCCAAATTATAACACTGAACAATATGACATCATGAGGTCTTGCCTAATGATCATACTAGTAAACTGAACAATGGAATCATGAAACAATGGCTAATGCCAAACTAGTAATAATGAAAAACAATATCATGAAATTATGCTTTTGCCTTAGGGCCAAACTAGCAACACTGAACAATGACATTATAAGACCTTGCCTAATGACTATACTATTAAACTGAACAATGGCATCATGGAACTATGGTTAATGCAATACTTGTTACTCTCAACAAAAATATCATGAAACTATACTTTTGTCTTGTGAACAAACTAGTAACACAGAACAATGACATCATGAGAACATGCCTAATGGCCATACTAGTAACCCTGAACAATTTCATGAGATCATAATGGCCAAACTAGTAACACTAAACAATGACATCATAAGATCATGCTTGATGGCCAAACTAGTACCACTGAGCAATGACATTATGAAATTATACCTAACTGCTAAACTAGTAAAACTGGGCAGTGACCTCATAAAATCATAACACCTCACTAGTAATAATGAACAATAGCATCGTGCCCAATGACCTAACTAGTAACTGTGACCCTTTTAATAATTTTTCCTGTAGTGCTAACATATTTTATGTACTAAGTCATAATTTAAGGAACAACTAGAAAAAGGCTCTTTGTAATTAAACAACATAAAAATCTCAAATGGTATTTGGGTGTGAGTCATAGTGTTACTCCAAAACAACACAATACTATATGCACTGGATCAAAACTGTGAGAAAAGAAGAAACACTATTGAAAATAAAAAAGAGTAAATTTTTCGCAACACAATAGCTTAGCATCGCTTACTTACATGTCTTGAAACTCCAGTGTTTTATATTACAATGAAAGATATTTTTAAAAGAAAAAACCTTTTGAGTTCATACTTAACTTTTAATTTCAAAACAAGATTATTTATAACGATAAATAAGTGAAATACAATATTTTGAAATGTTGCTACAAAGCTAATATTTTTTCAGCTTCCAAATGTTGATAACTTTTCCATTTTGTATTTATTTTCTAAATGTGATTTAAGGCTTTCTTAAATTACAAATTTTCTTAATGTGAATTAGAATTTACCAACACACTGCTAAATTTCATCACAACTTGAAGTAATTTTATCTAAAACAATAAACTATGAAGTTTTTACTCCACCTGACTCAATGAAACTTTTGAGTGTTTTGGAGAACCAAAAGTGGAAACATTAGATAACTTGAGGCTATGCCGGTTTTGTCTTTCTGTTGATTTCTTTCTTTCTTTGGAAGGTCTTAATACCATAGATCCAATGCGAGAACTGACTGTTACTTCATCATCTTTTCTGCACTTATTTATTTCACTTGTCTTTTGGGGAGATTTTTTAGAATGTTCAGGATTATCACGGAAGTCTGTTATACCTTCCTGAGATAGAGAACCTCGGTCACTTTCCCCTGACAAAGTCATTCTTGAAAGGGAATCATCTGAGCTATCATTCTGTTCAACATTTGTAGAAGGTATTCCAGAGACAGAAGCATCTTTTTTATTCTTCTGAAAGCGTAAAGAAAATGTTTTTCTGAACTTCTGGAGAACACTATCACTTCCCAGTGATCGTGGACTAGATGTTCGATTTGATGAATGATGGCTAAATGTTGAAGATGCACTCTTTTCACCACCTGATACACTTGGTTGTTGAAAACCATCACTGTAGTTATACCACAACTTCTTATCACTTGTCGTATCACAAGAAACTCGAAAAGAGTTATCTAATACTTCCTGAGTTTCATCATCACAGTACATTTGTGACCAAGGTCGGTGTTGACTGAATTCTCCTTGTCGCACATCTTCACTACTATGTGCTTCAAACTGAGGTACACTATAGGTTTTTAGTTGACGTTCTGACTTGGAGATAAGCTGGTTCTTTTTTAGCCGAGATAACGCCATAGATTTCTTCTTAGGGCTAAGAAGAGTTTTTGAAGTCAATTGGATAGGGTCTGCCATGTCTGTAGTAATGCTATTAACATTTGGACCAACGTGATTACTGTCTATACCCATGATGAGAAGGTCTAACCTTCTTGTTGAAGTCTGTGGGTCATTTATACGAGAAATGGTATGAAGTTCTGCTTGCTGAGAGACTGATTCTGGTACTTCTGACCTATTTACCAGTAAAGGCGCAACAGGATCATAATCTTGATACAGAAAATCTTTTGTCCCCTGCAGATTAACAAAAAACAAATCTTATACTAATATAAACTAGGATAGAAATCCTAAAGTAATTCATTTTTACTTCGTACTTTACAAATAAAAACAAATCTCAAAACTGTATTCAGACGAATAAAGTGCTCAAGCATTAATTTTTAGGTTTTCCTAAAACATTCAAGCTGTTTTTTTTCATTCATTGACTGAACTAAATGTTTAAATATACTTCTAGTTTTAGTCTTATATTGATCTGTGTTGTGCATGAACTTATTTGTTTGCCCACAAACTCTTCCCACAGTTGGCTAGCACTCTTGGGGTGTCTTTATCTATATAGCATATCCCCCTACAAATGGGGGCTAAAACATACCCAAAAGGTCACACAGGCATGATAAGGGTGTACGAGAAGGTTTTCAGGGTTGCTAAATATGTATTAGGTCATCAAGAAATTAATATCTTGTTTTGGAACATTACCCCCTCCCCCCAATAAATGTACATCATGTATAATAGTTAAATGAAATGCCTAAATGTCACATTAGTGTAGCCTATATATTAGTATACTCTAATCCCTTATAGTTATGGCACACAATGGGACACACATTCAATATGTAATGCTGTTTGAATAAAAGAAGGGAAACAATGCCTCTGCAGCCACAAAGAATATCAAAGAAGCATATGGAAATGTTTTAAACGTTCATAAGTGTCAACGATTGTTCAGCAAATTTCGTTCTGGTGACTTCAGCCTTAAAAACTGTGATGGCAGGGGCCTACATGTTCAAATTGATATTGATGCTCTGAAGACGCTTTAAGACGTGAAATGGCCCTGAAATTGCATGTCTCTCATGAAACAATACATAAACATCTGAGGAATATGGGAAAACTCCATAAGGAAGGTGTTTGGGTGCCTCACAAAATCTCCGATGATCATTGTTTCCAACATGTGAACATTGCTTCGTCTCTTTTGGGGCATAATGCATGTGAACCATTTTTGGACAGAATTGTCACCGGTGATGAAAAATGGATTCTCTATGTGAATATTAAACACCAAAAACAATGGCTCAGTCCTAGACAAAAAATTACTTCTGACCCTAAAACCTGGACTCCATCCACAGAAAGTGATGCTTTGCAGTTGGTGGGACATCAAAGGAATAATTCATTTCAAACTCCTCAATCCACAGTGAACTGTCAATGCAAAGATCTATAGTCAGCAACTGGGGCATTTAAATTAAGCCCTTCATCAGAAATGCCCTTCACTCGTCAACCGGAAAGGTGTTCTTTTTCTCTACAAAAATGCATGTGGCATGTTTAACGCAACACAAGATTATAGAATTGAGTTGGGAAGTTCTCCCACACCCACCATATTGTTCAGATGTGGCACCATCAGATTACCATCTTTTTCGTTCACTGCAACATCATCTGAATGGGAAAACATATGCAAATGTGGAAGGTGTTAAAGAAGACATCGACATGTTTTGTTGCTTCAAAGCCAAGTGATTTCTTTAATCAGGGCATTAACAACCTGATTGTAAGATGGAAAAGCATCATCGATAAGAATGGAGACTATTTCATTTACTAAATGTTTTCTTTTGATATACAAGTTGTTCGTATTTTTAATCTAAAAAAAGCGACATTAATTGCTTGACAACCTAATATCTGGCATTGGATTTTGTGTTTCTGGCCTACCTTGGGATTACACGGGTATTATTTTTGAAAATGTGTTTGTACTCCCACTCACAAGTTAGTGGGGCTAAACTTGACGTATGGGCGAGTGTCCTATTGGTTATTTATTTATTTTTGGAGGGGGGGGGGTGAGTACTATCCTCTTTGGGGTAGTTTTAGAAGAGATTGAGGGCAATGAAGAACCTGATCTGTACAATGTGGTCTCTGTGAATCATAATGGGGCCTTTGAACCCCACAGCAAAGTATGGGTATTTTATACTAGTATATAGACATCATTAAGCAACGAAATTCTAAAGCTTAAACTTAAAACAGAAAAAAAACAAAAACAAAAACTCAAAATCACAAGCATTTTTTCCTTAAAATGTAAAAAAAGTAACATCAATGCATAACAACAGTTGTATACTATTCAACTTAATAAGTTGCTACTTCTCTTGAAGAAATGAGATTTCTTATAACCTTAACCTTTAAATTATACCAAATGAAAATTATTCAATTTGTGACTGTTTAGTATTCATAAAACTTTCTCCATACTGAACAAACACTTAACCATAAGATCTCTACAATTAATGATAACAATTTTCAAACTGTATAGAGAATAGGTAATGATATAATTTAATTGGGGACAAGTAACAGAGTTACATTAATTTAAAGACCAGAATACAGGCATAATATAACATACTGCCTCAGGGCCAAAAGCAAAAACTAATTATAGAATTGCCATTGAACTGCCAGGCATTAAATGAGATATGTGACCTTTTATCGGGATATTTAATGCTATAATTGAAGAAACAATGCATAAAAATTCTGGGACATGTCTAAAAAAAAGAGAGTGGGTGCTTCATATGTTGTAGCCCAGTAGTCAAGGTACAACCAAACCCTAAAACGTATTTTTTCATAAACAGTTAGATGAAGGCACATGTAGTTTACAATGTCTGTGTTTAGTAATTACAAGATAATTACATACAGTTTCCTATACTTAGAGCACTATGTAATTCTATGCCATTTGTCAGGCTTAGAAGATTTTTGGACAGATCACAGGTGAAATGTCTTGTAATGCAAACTGGAGAGTTTGGTTACATATTACCTTACACAGGAAAAAATTTAACAGCTTCTGTACATGAAATACAAGTTATTTAAAAACTTTAGCATATAGATATTTCAAGGTGATATACATAAGTAGAGCAGAGACATCACTTGTTATGCATTTAATTCAAATCTAAACTTTATGATGACAAACATCTTAACCATAAAAATCTTGTCTTTCACCAAACTTTGTAGTATTCCTAGAAAAGCAATATGAGCACTAACAAATAAAACCCTTAACTAACAGTGTTTTGTCCTTATCAAAATCAATACTAAGCCAATGGTTGATATAACAAAGTTATATTTATGTGGAATAAATAGAAATGCCATTCTGTTATTCTAATAAGAAGCTTTAGATCATTTCTATTTTAAAATAAGAATGTAAAACAGTTATTAACTTCTTCTGTTTAAAATGTAACACAAATATTGTCTTTATTTCTTTTTTACATCTAAAATGCAACATGGCTATACTACAATTCTTTTTTTACAATTACAACTTAACAGAAGTATATTATTCATATTTTTTGTGTCTTTGATTCAAAATAAAAGTAGGAAGATAAAAATATTGTTTAAGCAGTATGAATATGTAATAATTCTACAATCACAAGAAATTTAACAATAGTATCAGTTACAAAATATGGATAAAAATACTGTTTGAAAATATTTTGCTTGTTTTTTTTGCTGAATTTCATGCAAAGTTGCTCAAGGGCTACCTATTGCTAACCATCCCAATTTTGAAGTGATAGATTAGGGGGAAGGCATCTAGTAAACATCACCTACCACCAATTTTTGACTACTCTTTAACAATAAATCATGTGACTGAACATAACATTATAATCCCCCCATGTCTAAAAGGGTGAGTATGTTCAGTGATGCATTTTGATCCTACAATCCAAAGATTGCAAGTCAAGCTCCTTACCCACCAGGCCATTTTTAAAAAAAGAAAGTAAGATTTATTTTGCAGCAATACAAGTTATACAAAATGTTTATATTAATCTTAGAATAACACAAAAGTTGATAGGATGGTCTATGAGGTAAACAGAGAGAAAATAATTAAATTATGCTATCCGGGGCTGTGGGTGGAGGATATAACTGACTGAGCAAGTGATAAAGTAAAGGGTGCTAGCAGTGATGCAGTCTTAATAGTGCATATAGGGTTAATGATGTAGGGAATGGTAGCTCAGAAGAGCTAATGGTAAGTAGAGAGGTTGATAAAACATTTTAAGAAAAGGGTCATAACTTAATTCTGTCAGAACTATGGCCAAGACTTAATTGTGGAAATGAGATTATAAGTGGGCACTAGGGCTGAATGCTAGGCTTAGGTTAATATGAAAGAATGAGAAGACTGGCTGTTTGGACTTGTGGGGTGAATTCCATTCCAAAAAGAAACTTTTTAGAATGAATGGTTGAATGGTTTATACTTTAGGTTAGTGACTGACTTGTTCGCAAGGGCAATTAACTCAGCTGTAAGACCAACTAAAACTACACAGCGGAAATGGACAGGATAAATTAACTGCAGAAAAATAAGATAAGTATAAAAATTGGAGAGTAGGAACAAAGTACAGAAACAGTTTATGGGTTAGCTAATTTGTTACTATTTTAATGATAGAAGTATAAGACATAAAACAGATGACTTCAGAACATTAGTCTGAATTGAAGCTTTTGACATAATTGGAATAACTGAAATTTGGTTAGATGTAGACAATTCTGATGACAGAAATTTCTTTAAAATACTGAGTTATAGGCTGTTAAATAGAGTTACAGTACTAAAAATAGAGGGAGAAGTGGCGTTATATGTAAAATATGAGTATAAGAGTTACATTCTGTTGATTGAAGATGAGGATATCAAAGATAATAGCAAGAAAATTGAAATTATTCGGGTTTCTGTTAGTAGAGTAGGGGAGAAAGCTTTTAGTTGGGATTTGTTACAGATTATTAGATGAAACTGATAAAATGAATAAGAAACTATACAGTGAGAATTATATTTCAGCTGTTAATGAGGTCATAATTATAGAGAATTTTAATTTCAGTCTTACATATATTGGAAATTTGAGTCACGAGGGAAAAAGGTTTTCACAAGTCTTTCAGGATGATTTTTTTCACCAATTGTCAGGGAACCTACTAGGAACAGTGATATTTTAGAATTATTTTTAACTTTTAATACAGATATGGTTGATATGGTGGGGTTGGGAAAATCTTTATGCAAGTGATCATTGCTGTTTAAGGCTTGATGTTTACTGTATATGGTGATCAGG